CTATAGATAAATTTGTGAGTGCTGAGATTCCAGACAGACAAACTTACCCTCATTTATACTCTGTTGTTGTTTCTCACATGATACATGGTCCTTGTGGCATTTTAAATCCAACAAATGTATGCACGAATAGAAATAAACAATGCAGAAGCCATTTCCCAAAGGATTATACCCCAGAGACATTCTTAGGCGAATTTTCATACCCAAAGTATAGACGTTTAAATAATGGGAGGAAAGTGAAAGTTAGAGGACAATGGTTAGATAACAGATGGGTTGTACCTTACAATCCATATCTCTTGGCTAAATTTAATTGCCATATAAATGTAGAAATTTGTTCAACCATCAAAGCTGTGAAATATTTGTATAAATATGTATACAAGGGACATGATAGAATTGGTTTCTCAGTACATTCTGAAGAACATGTGGTTGATGAGATTAAAAATTTTCAAACAGCTAGATGGATTTCTCCTCCTGAAGCATTATGGAGAATTTTTGGTTTCATTCTTTCAAAAATAAATCCTCCAGTTGTTACTCTTCAATTACATCTCGAAAATAATAATTTCGTTACATACAAAAGTTTCGAAAATCTTGAGAAAATTATAAGTACAGACTTTTTCAAAAAAAACCATGTTAACGAAATTTTTCCACATGAATATTGTTGACAAAAAGGCTACAACTCTTTTATATAAACAATTTCCAGAATTTTTTGTTTGGGACTCACATCGTAAATGTTGGAGTCCTAGAAAACAAGGTGTTTGTATCGGTAGAGTAGTTGCAGCAAGTCCAAGTGAAGGGGAAAGATACTACTTGCATCTTTTGTTAAATCATATTAGAGGCGCAACGTCATATCGAGCTTTAAAAATTGTAAATGGTGTTGAAACATCGTCTTTTTGAGAAACGGCACGTTTACATGGTTTACTTAATGGAGACACTAATTGTGATTTATGTTTGCAGGAAGCTTCAGAGTATCAAATGCCTACTCCATTTCGTCGTCTTTTTGCAACAATTCTAACTCTATGTGCTCCGAATGATCCAAAAAATCTATGGAACAAATTCAAAATTTTTATGATTGAGGATTTCTTACGTGCTGGTATGTCGCTGCAAATTGCTGAACTTAAAGCTCTTTTGGAAATTGATGCAATTTTAGAACTTTCTGGTAAATCCATTAATAGTTACGATTTTGTATCATATAATGTACATCTATATGAAAATGAACACGTCGCTAAAGTAATAAATGATGAATTAAGCATTAATGTGTCAGAAATAGATATTATGTGTCCCCATCAACTTAATACTGAACAAAAGACGGCATATAATGCAATTCTAAATAAAGTAGACACTAATGTTAGCGGCATGTTCTTTATTGATGGTCCTGGTGGAACAGGTAAAACCTTTTTATATCGTGCATTACTAGGTACTGTGAGGTCAAGACAAATGATTGCTTTAGCAACAGCATCTTCTGGTGTTGCAGCTGGTCTTTTGCCTGGTGGACAAACAGCACATTCTAAATTTAAAATACCTCTAGAAATTTGTAATGACACAATATGTAACATTAGTAAACAGAGTGCTCTTGCAGAACTTTTTCGAATGACAAAACTAATCATATGGGATGAAGCTCCAATGGTGAATCGATATGTAGTTGAAGCATTAGATAAAATGTTAAGAGATGTTAATGATTGTGAATTCCCATTCGGAGGTAAAGTTGTTGTCTTAGGAGGAGATTTTCGTCAAGTTCTACCTGTAGTTCAAAGAGGTAATAAAGACGATGTAATAGGAGTAAGTCTTGTTAACTCTTACTTATGGCCTTTATTCACAAAACTAAGATTAAGTGAAAATATGAGAGCGCAATTAGATACATCGTTTTGTAAATATTTACTTGATATTGGAGATGGAACCGCAGAAAAACATTCATGTAATATGGTACAACTTCCGCCTGACATAACTATAGATTTCGAAGAACACATCACTTCTGGCTTCTTTGTAAAAGTTTCCGAAGAAATATTATAGATGCTGAAATTGCAGTTGGAGATTATAAAGGGAAAAATGTATTTCTTCCTAGGATACCTTTTATTCCACTTCAAAGCGACAAAAATCCTTTCCCTTTCAAAAGAACACAATTTCCAGTTCGTCCATGTTTTGCAATGACAATTAATAAATCTCAAGGACAAACACTTGATTTTGTTGGTTTATATCTTCCTGAGCCAGTATTTTCGCACGGCCAATTATATGTTGCTTTGTCTCGAGCCAAAAGTAGCACATGCATTAAAGTTCTCATCAAACCAACAACCCCCCAAAGATTACATATGAAATGTACAAAAAATGTTGTTTACGATGAAATTTTAGCAATGGTAAATACATGACATTATGTTCTCATTTACATTTGCCAATTATCATTACAAAACATATTTTAGCATTGTCATTTTCATTTGGCTGCGGAGCTAACTGAAATTTGAGAGAAAATTATATTCTTCTCTGTAGAATTTGACCACAATAGAGAACCCTGTAAAGCACTCCTTGCTTATTATTTGCTCATTCTTTTTGTTCCATTTTATTTTAAAATTGTGCTCCTTTTGGTCACTACACTTGGAACACACTTGGTAATCCTTCTACTTGCTCCACAGGAAATTGTTTCCAAACAACGTTACGAAAATGGATCACATTGACGATATTTTTGGTGAACGTCAAGACAAATATGATCATGAGATGGTATACTTCTTATGCTACAGAGTTCTTTCTAACATCTTTTTTCAAAAACGTATATAAATCATCATTGTTTAGTGTGAGTTAATGAACATTGATAATTTTGTTCTTGGCTGTTTAGTTAACTTAGTATTAGGTTCACCCATTGAGATAATACACTTGTTGTACTACCTATTTGTTCATGTATGCATATAGCATAAGTTATTGAAGCAAGATAAATTTCTTCTTGGCCATTTAGTTCACTTGGTAATTCGTCATTTGTATCTGTCAATGCCTTCGTTCACTTTCATGTTAGATTTTTGGTATTTAAAAGGGATGAGACCAACGATGGCTTCATGTACTCATTTTTCACTTTATCTATACATTTCTCTTTTAAAATTTGATCTTTATGAATTTTCTCTATAATTTACATCCTATACATGTATCATAAATCTTTACTGAATGTGACATTGGATCTATATATTTTTTGTCATAAATTTTTGATCACGCATGGCTTCTTTAAAACCTCAGACCTACTAATCTGAGCACAAACAAAGTGAATCTCAGAAAGGTAAATTAAGGGAAAAAAAGTAACATGACCAGTTTATCATTTAAGGCTGTGTGATCTCAGTGGAAATCAAGTGGTTCACATTCTATCAAATACACAAAACTTGAATACTAAATTTTTTGTTTTGTAGGTCAGTCTCACTCATGATATTTATATAAGTAGTCTTGCATCTGGACTTGTCAGACTCTCCTTGCTTATCTGCCCTTGTTTTCAATTAGGTGAGAAGTCAAATATAGTAAATTTTGGTTTTAACTTTCAACTCATATTACTTTCTGTAAGCTACATCAAAGAATGATTGTACTTTTGTTTCACAATATATTCCTGCTAAAAGCCTGCATGTGACAGAACTATGGAGCAAGTCGAAAAAAGATCTGTTTGACTCTTTGAGCATCATAACATATATTATCCTAGCCAAATTATGTTTTTGAGTTTTGCGATTATTTTCGGGAATTCTATCTGTTCATAATTTTTTTTTAAAATTTTTTTAAAGCAAAACATATACATCATTCAAGTCATCATGAGCATTGTTATCTTTTTGGGGTTTGACCTTGCTCTCTATTGGATGTGAATATCTTGTGCTCATTGCTTTAACATTGTTAGAAAAATAAAGATAGGGGCCACTTGCCCACATACAAGTTCTACAAGGTGTTGTCAAGTATAAATTGAATACTTTACCTATAAAACAAAGAAACAGCATGAAAAACTATATGTCTGAAAAAAATTTCTGAAGTTATAGTTGAGGTAATTTAATCACGCTATTTTAAGGAAAATTTGTTCGCATATGCTTCCAGCAGCATCTTAGTTCAAGAGCGTGACTAATAGTCACTGTTTCATTTAATGACCTTAGCTTTCAAGCAACGAGATCTCTTTCTGGCAAGAGAAACTGTATCTCAACAAAGTAAATATTATATTGGTTCAGGTTATACTATCTAATCGTTGAAATTTGAATCATGCTCACCAATAATAACAGCAGTTTTGCTTTCTATGCACGTGGTTCATGTTTCAAAAGAACCCCGCTGCCTGGGCTTTTCCTTATATGTCATCTTGCTTATGCTTCTGTTCCTTCATGTGCCCCATCTTGGCTCAGAAGCCAGATTTTCCCACTAAACGAGCGCGAAGAATTTCCATTGGCTCATAAGCTACATTTTTGGTCGGCTCAACCATTGGTGTATTGGGTGGGGAGCCATTAGTAATATCATATTGTCTTTTGGTTTCTAGAATCGTCCTGGTTGAGAGAGATTGTGGTAGAGAGAAAAAATCAATCGTTTTCATTCCCACAACAGTCGTTATCGTTGCACCAACAGCGGCCCCTAAGAGCTCGCCTCTCTTTCCCAGACTCTCGCACACCTGCAGCAGTCGTCGTCGTCACAACTACACAGGCTCCTATGAACACGGTTCTCTTCCCCAATCGCCGTCACCACACTGCCTTTATATACACTACCGCCAGATTCTGACGACCATTGGTCCAAACTCAAACTTGTTGCAGTTTTTAATTTTCTGAATTATATGATGAATCTATCGGTCATGGTAATATATTTGTAGAGCTTATATTTTGATTTGAAGATTGTGTTATTTATTTGATCAGTTGTTTTGACTCTTGCAAGATCTATGCTTTTGGATTTTGATCTGTACTGTGTTGTATTTTTCTTCATTTTCTTGTGTGCTGAAATGTAAACAATTAAGTTTCATGGGGGTGTTTTGGGGGTTTTTTATATATTTATTTTTGTTCAAGGGATTGATAATTTAATGATTATTCTCTGTTCTGTTTTGTTTGATTAATAGTTGTCTGTTAAACTATAAAGCATTTTTTTAATAATCTAAATTGGTTAGATGTAAAATTCAAAAATAATGTATGTGTTGGTTTTAAATGTAGGTTTCTGTATGTTTAATACTTGAATTCAACAAAGATGAGTGGTTGTGATAAAACAGAGGAAGATCAATTCTTTGACAGCCACGATGAGATCATTTCTATGTCCAACTTGGGTTTTGAATGCCTTGAGTTCTGTTCGAGTTCTCATGGTAAGTGAGAACTCCTTTTTCAGTTTGAAAGGTAAAAGTTAATTTATGGCCAATGTGGATACTGATACAAATTCTAAAAGTAATGCTCACATGCTTTAATTCTATATGTAAGTTATCCCCCAATTGAGGGTTAGATATATTTTTTGTTTGACTAAATAAGGCACAACAATCAAATAGTATGCACAATGGAACAACATTGTGGATGGTGAACTGGCATTGTGGATGTGCTGTGATAACATGTGCTTAAATTATTGATGGCAAACTTGATATTCTTGTACCTTCATGGTTAGGCTGCTATATGCTTTGATGGATTTAAAATTTATGGGCACAGAAATTCGCTCCCCTTGACTTTGAATGGAGTTCTTTTGCACATGGATAAGATATACTTTCCCAGGCCAGTTTACAAATTTACAACTGTAATGTCTATAGATTTGAAGTAGCGATTTGCTCAAGTCATTCATAAGTTTTCTCAGGATTGAGCTTTAGTCGACAATCTACAATTATGTAATCCTTTCTTCTCGCCCCATCATATTTTTTTGACTCTGGAGTTAGTCCTCTCAACTTGAATACGTAAATGCTAAGTCTCAAAATTTTTTATAATTGCTTCTGTACCTGCCTTTCAATCTTCCTCTTTTGTTATTTTTTTCCTTTTTAACTGGTGATGATTGTTATCACCATACTATTTTACCTTGAAATATAATAAAGACCACACAGAATTTTATTATTATCGGAGTACTGACAACAACGAATTCCAACTACATATTTTTGGAATTTTAAGTTTCTAGAATGCACGCATATCTTAGAACCAAGCCATTTTTTGCTTTAACTTAATATAATCAGTGATGATTTTATCTGTGTTGCTCTGTGAATTGTTGTTACAAGTTTCTAGAAATTTGCTTCTTTATCGTTCAAGTTAGTTCTGATTTTTTCTTCAATTGATGTAAATAATGGCTTCATCGAATTTAACCGCCTAGAAATTGAAATAAAATAAAATAGAGGGATCCCCCCATGTTAAAGTAAATGTGGGAAAGTACTATATAATATTGATGCAATAACTTTATTTGAGTGTTAATGTCAATGTGGTATCTTATTAATTTTAGCTTATGGTTGTCCTTTACTGATCATGTCGTTCACTAATTTCCAGCTTTTCGGTAAAGCTTCGCCACAATGTCTCAAGAAGGGGTTTATAGTGTTCAGCACTGGCTAATCATGTGGATGAGGATAATGAGCTACATAATATAGAAGACGAGAGTGGTAGATATCCTATCAAGGAGACTGGATTACATGATGGAAGTAAAGATACTAATTGTGGCCATGATCAACTTGAAGAGACTGTGTAGAACTTAGTTTCACAATGAATATTTAAAGTATCAGTTTGTGGATATAAAGAAAGATACTTGATTCTGGCGAGCCTGGAAAACGAAATAAAGCTGTGGAGCTAGACCATTTGGCGTCCAATAATGATGTCAGAGAGCTTCATGAAAAATTAGAATCTTCGAAAAGAGAACTTCTAGAGGAAAGACAAACTCAGGGTGTTGTAGAGGAACCTCTAAAACATCTTGGAGCAGCACACTCAGAGGCATATACAAATGTTCAAGAGCTTTCTACCTAAGTTGCTAAAGGTTGTATTGTTTTTTTTTTTATTTCCATGTCTATTGATAGGATTTGGTAACATATTTTCAAATTAGATCCATTTATGATTCTTGGTGATGGTAATTGATGTATTAATTAAATGTGGCCTTAGGATAGAGTTCTTGGGGATAAGAGATTTGTTAACTCTGCTTTGTTATTCTACCACTATCGTAATAAACTGGTTTAATGGTTTCTTTGGGTAGCTCAACAGAAGATGGACCACGAAAGAAAAGATCGTGATAAGAAGTGTTTGAGCTTCATACCAAGTTTAGAAGACCTCAAAAAAGAGCAAAGGCACATGTTCAAGAGGTGCAAAAGGTTTTTTTTTTTTTTTTTTTGCCATTTTCCTTATGTCACTTTTCATTTATATCACTACCTAACATTTTCATATTGCTTCCTCTTTTCCATTAAGTAATTCTATCTTTTGGCGGGATTTTTTGCGCTAGATTTCCAATATCATTAAATGCTGCTCATCTTATCAATGCATAAAACACTTATTTATTGTGTTTTTAGATTTCTAATATCATTATATGCTGCTCATCTTATCAATGCATAAAACACTTATTTATTGTGTTTTTAGATTTCTAATATCATTATATGCTGCTCATTTTATCAATGCATAAAACACTTATTTTTTTGATAACATGCTTACATTTCTCTCTGATAATTCATTCCATAAGGATCCAAATCGAAATGACATTGATTGTTGCATTTGGAGGATATCATGTTTAGAGGTTGAGGAAGTGGTGGCAGTTTTGGCTTACCATAGATCCCTCATGCCATATTACTTCCCAAATATGATTCTACCTCATGTTCGGCTTACCATGGACTCTTTTGAGGTAAGTTAGATTTCTTTACTTAGTTAATTACTATACACACTCTAAAAAAAAGGGAAAAAAGTGTGGTGTTTGCCCTGTGTACATTTATGTAATGTTGTCGAAGGGTTCACTGGGAAACGAGTATATTTTATAACAAGTTTGATTCTTTGGGACTTTCATTTTAAGTCTCTACTTATTATTTAGCCAACTTTGACATTACCTTAGTATTTGTAGGGAAAACCCCATATTTTCGAAAGGGAAAATTTACTCACAATAAGCGTATGTTTGTGATGTGCCTATGTTCACTATCATAATTAAGAAAGATGTATTAATAATTCAAGTCAAATTGCAAGAAAGTATAGGTTTACCCTATAAGTTTTCAGTTAATGTAATCGAGTTTCATAAAAGTGGTAACCACTTTGCTACCGGTGACCGTGGTGTAAGGGGCGAGTTATTTGAAAGAACTGAAATGAAAGATGCGATGTTTAAAATATTCAAATGCTAAAAATATATATAATTCCCAAGGGCACAGCCTTGCTACTGTGTGCTTTACATAATGAAACAATATTTGGGAAAGAGAACTTGCCAACTGGGCCTCCGACCTGGTTGTAGCTAAGAATTTTTCATCTCCAAAAAGTTTTGATATTTCACCAGTAACTGTTGATAATTAATTGGATTCTGATGTTATGAGGAAAAAAATTGATTTAACGCTAAGGGTTTTACTTAAATTTTCGATTCTTAAATAAAGAGAGTGTGGTGTTTGCCCTGTGTGCATTTATGTAATGTTGTCGAAGGGTTCACTGGGAAACGAGTATATTTTATAACAAGTTTGATTCTTTGGGATTTTCATTTTAAGTCTCTACTTATTATTTAGCCAACTTTGACATTACCTTAGTATTTGTAGGGAAAACCCCATATTTTCGAAAGGGAATACGTTTGTGATGTGCCTATGTTCACTATCATAATTAAGAAAGATGTATTAATAATTCAAGTCAAATTGCAAGAAAGTATAGGTTTACCCTATAAGTTTTCAGTTAATGTAATCGAGTTTCATAAAAGTGGTAACCACTTTGCTACCAGTGACCGTGGTGTAAGGGGCGAGTTATTTGAAAGAACTGAAATGAAAGACGCGATGTTTAAAATATTCAAATGCTAAAAATATATATAATTCCCAAGGGCACAACCTTGCTACTGTGTGCTTTACATAATGAAACAATATTTGGGAAAGAGAACTTGCCAACTGGGCCTCCGACCTGGTTGTAGCTAAGAATTTTTCATCTCCAAAAAGTTTTGATATTTCACCAGTAACTGTTGATAATTAATTGGATTCTGATGATATGAGGAAAAAAATTGATTTAACGCTAAGGGTTTTACTTAAATTTTCGATTCTTAAATAAAGAGTTGGTTCAAATTTAATTCTGTGAGGCTTATATATATTTTATTGATGTAAATAATGAGGTTTATTGTTTGTTGAATATAAATAATTAGTGAATGTTTTTAAGTAGGTAAGGGACCATTTTTTTTCCCGATGTTGGATAGAGTAATCTCATACTTACGTTTAGGGATGTTTTAATCCATAAACATTGCGAAATTGAGGGTTTATAGTTCATGGATAGAATCATATTTCTGCTAACATTGGGCTTGATGTTTACTATAGATGTTTGACGTAGCTTTCTTCAATAAACAAATGTGATAACATTGAATTCCATTTCACTTTCCCGTTATACTCTATTCTCAACATGAGGGAACAAAAGAAAATCTTAATTGGTTTTGGTGGGTGTGAACATGCCTAGATGTGTGTTGTTGTCTCCTATATTTCTCTTCATAGTTACTGGAAAATCTATGTTTTTACTCTTTCTTCGGGTAATTGAAGAGTTATTATGGGAAGAAAGTTGTACTTGTGTTTATAGCTTATGGTTTGCACTTTTCTAAGGCAAATTGGTCTTAAGCAAGTAAGTTGAACATCTACTTGTTGTGAAGCTTTTGTGTTTATTGTAATCTAGATGTATAAAAAACTTGATTTGAGGCGTTTATTAGTTCAAATATGTGTGAGCTGCTATTACTTATCTGATAATTTTAGGCCGTCAACTTGACCCAAACAATTTCATTCTCATTCAATACCCTCACTTTTGGCAGTGTCTCAAAAATCAGAATTCAGCTTGGATGTAGAACAGATTGCAGAGGTTGTTGAGCAGGAGAGACGTAAGTGCATATTCCTAACATCACCTAATAATCCAGATGGGAGATATCATGTGATGAGTCTATCTATTTGTTGGTCCTTTCTCTTGTTTTCTGCTATGAAAATATCATACCATGCTTTGAGTACTATATGTTAGGTCATTAATGTTAACATATTTGTTCAGTTTTCCTGCATTAATTTTTATTTAAATTGTTGAATCAAATCATGTAAGAGAATATAGTTCCACATATAGAGCCATGGATGCCAATTCCTAGCTTAGAGGATTCAACTAAAGTAAAAGAGCAAAGAGCATACGTGAATATGATCCATACTGAATGCGCATCACATAATTGAAATAGTAGTAAGTAAAGTATATATCCCCCATTACAACAATATGAAAAAAATCATCATCAAAGGGATTAAGCTATATTTTGTTCACTAACCAATTGAGGTTGTAAAAATCACAATTTTTTTATATAATGACATAACACACATTTCAAAAAGATTCTTCTATCCTTTTCCCATAACTTCGTTATACCAAAAAAAAAAAAGAAAAAAGAAATGGCCATCTTTTTATTTGGCTTCATCTTTCAATTTTTATTTTACTGATGCAGAAAGGGAATTGTTTCTTGATTACTGAGTTTGTGAATCCATCATTCATTAATTTTTTTGGTTTATTTCTTGACGTGTTCGTTTTTTAGATTTTTTTTTGTGCCATGGAGATTAGTAAAAGCCATGATATGAGGCAGATTTTCATGAATGAATGATGATCTTTGGAAGATTTAATTTTTTGGTTTATTTCTTGATGTGTTCGTTTTTGGGATTTTTTGGAGCATACCAATGCAGTTTGTCAACTTGAGGATTTTAGAGCAGATTTTAGCAATGCCAAACATTATCATCATCAGATGTGGAAATGCTTACGTTATGATGCCAAATCAAATCAAGGTCCTTTCAGTAACTAATTTTCCTATTCGATTTAGGGGGTTTTGTTTTACTTGCTATGCTTCGACGCCTTCTTCTTCTGTTGTATTGAGGCATAGAAGAAATAGCACTTCTTCTTCTCTGCCATTTTTATATCAGCAAATTTGGGCTTGGTAGGTTCGCATACGATGAGTATGCGTCTGAGGAGGAGTCTGATAGCGAACCTGAATCATCTTCTAAGCAGTTGGTAAGTATTCTTTGATTTATTTTGTGGTGATTTTCTCATTTGAGTTTGTGAGATTTTAGGTAGTGAAGTAATTGGTATTTGAAATGATCTGAGAATTTTTCATTTAAATTTCATTTGAATTACGTGGAAATGACGATGTAAATACTCCAAAGCTATTGTATCATTTTTTATTAAAGAACTAATTTCTATCCCTAAGTTGAGAGTGTTGATGCAAAATGCACCAGTAAATTTCATCAATTAGGGTGAAATTGTAGCCTTTCTTTTATTTGTTTGCTTTTGTTCTATCCCCTGCAAAATTATTTCTTTTTATTTTTCTTTCTCCACTAAAACTCACTAATTCCACTGAATCAACACTTGTCCCCTGCAAAAAAACCACATCAACACCTGGCAACTCACTTACTCCCATCCATTCCCTAAAAACATTTGCTTGTAGTAGTAAACAAAATTCTTGCCCCCCACTAACCATTTTCAAGTCAATATTGAAAACAGAAATCTGACTTTTACACCACTAATTCTAAACTCTCATCATTTCTATCCACTACGCATCCAATCTCTCAATATATAAGACACCAAATAAAACCTTTACCCACTTCATCTTCTCTAGCTTCATTTCCTCATTTCTAACATCAACCTGGTAACTTCCATTCTTTCACCGAACAGCAACATTAACTGCAAACATTTTCACAAGAATTATCATATAGTTATGTTTCATTTTAACTCTTCATTTTTCTAACCATTCTCCTCTGCTGATCCTGTAAAACTAATTGCAGATATAGATGGCAGAATATAAACTCATACCTGACATCAAACCTGGAGAATCTGGCTGGACTGTAAAGGCAGTAGTTTCAGAAAAATGCTCTCCCACCAAAGCTAGAAATAGTCCATTGAAATACCAACACATTTGGTTAATGGACCCTAAGGTAACTCTCTTCACATAATTTAAGTTTCTTTATTTGAAACTTTGATCCACAATGAATTGTGAAAAAGATTTTGGAACTTAACTAAAAGCAGATAACACAGGTTTAAATGCATGCAACTTTAATAACTGCATATTCAGGAAACTCATAGCTCTAGAAGCAATCTAGACGTTTTTAACCATGAACTGATGGACATAATTAATCATTCTACAATGCAATCACCTCAAAAATACATACCAAATCAAGAATGAGCATCTTCAACTACATGTCATATACCGTGTCAAAGATTTAAATTATCACCAATTGTCCTGACACAAACATGAAAATAAAAAATATGGCAGTACAAAAGTTTATCCAACATTTAATACTCCATTAGTTGGAACGTACCCTTAGTATCTAATTTCTTCTTACTGCTAATAATACTTTTCTGACATTTTTCAACAGTCTGGACCATGAAAATGCTTATGTAAACAATAGCCAGCTGATTTATAATCAAGATTCTTTAACAATTTTTGTAAAACCTTCCTTAACAACTCCAAGTACAAGATTTTTTGTGAACTCATATCACTTGGGCCTGCAATAGTTTTTTCATTCTTGATAATCTGTCCTCCATTTTCTTTTCGAGTACTAGAGAAATTCTTCATAGAAACGGGCACTGGATAATACATATTCCACCACCAAAAACTGAAGCTAGCGTTCCTAATTCAATCATAAAATATACATTATATCACAAACCACAAAAGTGCACTATATTATTTAAGATCAACATCCTCATTTCCAAATTCCAAAAAATTTCCCTTCCCTTAAAATTATTCTCTACCCTATCTTCTAAAACACAATTTAACTTAGTTTTCATGCAGGGAAACAAAGTTCAGGCCACGTTATTCGACAGCTCGATCACAGCGTTTGAAGACACCTTACTACTGCACAAAACATACCTCATCTCAAATGCACAAGTTAAAGAAACAGCTACATACTATAGAGCCCAGCTTGGTCACATTCGATGGACAATCAATGCAAAAACCAACATCGTTGAAGTTGACGAACAATTTAACTCTCTCCTTTCATCAACTTACAACTTCATATCATTCGAAAATCTTCAGCGCTACATGGACACAAATGCAGAAATCAGTAAGTAATTGCAATTCCATTAACATCTTACACTTCATTACTTCTATCTTAAACATAAATTACAACCTATACTCATTACTAGCCCATATTATTTCTTATAGGCATCATTGGAATAGCAGTCGACATCTTCCCCAAAAGAGTAATTCAAATTCGTGACAACCAATCAACAGTACAAGATGTCATTCTCATGAACGAAAGGTAAAGCATTTACTTTTATCACACATTTACTATTTCAAACCCCAAATTAACTCTTCTTAGTTATTACATATTAAATACAATTTGAAACATTATAGGTTCGAAACACGCATGCTTCAGATGTGGGACAATTTCGTTGCAAATGAATGTAATACCATCCACAACACAATCACCAAAAAACCAATTGTTGTGAGCAACAGATTAAGAGTAACTTCTTTCAATGGTAAATTGACTCCTCCTTGTACAAAATCACATCGAAACATATGAATTTAGACCTTAAATGCAAAACCTCATTTGACTCTCTATTTAGGAATATCTGTCTCTACAAAAATGAACTCATCAATACTCATTAATCCCTCATTTGAGCAAGTTGTAGAACTAAAGCACTGGTACATTCTTTCATTTTTCTATTTATCTATTGTAATTATTACTCATAATTTCCTTATTTACTTCTAACAATTTCATTCTAACATCAGGCTAGAAGAGAACATCATCACAATAAATGACATCGTGACAAGAAAAGCTTATATCTTCCCCACATCCACCACAATTTCTTGCCCACCAGAAGAAAAGTTAATCAACATCAAACAGCTACAACATATGGTACACCTTCTCACTTACATTTTATATCTATCCCTAACACACACACACACACACACACACACACACACACACACACACACACAAACATATATATATATATATATATATATATATATATTTTGTCTGCAGACAGCCTTCTGTAAATGAAACTTATTTTTGTAGATTTTGCAAGCACAATTATGCTACACCGACTCCAAGGTCAGAATATATTCATGTCACAAGTACATCATTTACATGAATAGATACATTATTCATCATCTAATGATAATCAAATACATCCCAAAACACTAACAATGATTCCACTGGTACTCTAACAGAGCAAGAGCAATCGTTCAGTTGCAGGACTACACAGGCTCAATCACAGCATCAATTATTGGAAAACCGGCTGAAACATTCCTCAACTGCCCAGCAACAGAATTGATGAAACAAAGTTCTAATGTAACTATCTCAAAATTTCATTTTTTTGCCTACTATTTTCTCTCCAATAAATATACTATTAACTACTTCTAATGAACATTCCAACAGGAACATATGGAGAGCAGCTCTACAATTCCAGCAACAACTCCACGTGAGCACATCGTATACATCAAAGCTGGAAATATAGAGACAACCACTAACAAGCCACCATATGAAGTCATCTTCATCCTTGACTCACACCTCCAAGATGACAACCAATTACCTGCCAACATCACACAACCAAGCACTACACATGAAGCTCCCAAACATGTAGATAAAAAACAGAAGCAAGAGTAGCTGTTGAAGACCTGAAAATACATATTTTGTATTTCTTTTGCACACTTGTGTCCACAATCCAACATACCAGATTCCCAGCATCTCTATCTGCCATACTAAATTTTGTTCATTGTCCATATTAACATATTAGAAACCATGTACCCAAATACGGCATGTAACATCTCTGTGTATGGCACCTAAGAACTCTGTTTTGTACTTCATATTACTATTGCCAATGTAACTACTTGTGGACACATTTTATATAATCTAATGTAATCATCCTTCTAATCATATCTTCTTTTCCATTAAGATACCACAAGACTGAATTTTAACATTTTTACTTACACTGCATTACCCACTGCACGTGCAACGCACGGCCCGTCACTAGTTCTAATACAAGAAACAACTTATTAGTTATTAAGGGACCTTTTTATGGCATAGAAATGCATCTTAAGCTGTCTCTTAAAGGAAATTTTGAATAGAAATAAAATTATAATTATTTTATATGCTATAATTAGATACCAAAGCTAATAAAAACATGCAAGAAAAATTTTGTGGCTACAATTTGCCTTCCGGCTTGAGTTGTGGTACAGTTCAGACCGACCAAAATCCGCATGATTGTCTGTTATGGGCAGGGGGTGGCAGGTTGGAGATTCGATTAGAAAAATTGGTATTTTTTTTTTAAAGTAATTTTTTATACTCGCTTTCATCCGTGAATTCTATTATGAGAGTGTATCGACGACTTCTTATACTAATTTCTGTCGAGCTTACTCATTAAAAAGATCCTCGAGAGTATTGTTTCGACTCTACGAAATTTTCCACACTTCAATTAGAATGGTCATAGACTCATAGTCACAAGCTTAACTAGACTAATAATCAAGAAATGGTCGGTTAATCAAATATTATGAACAATCATTTGGGGACCCAAATTCTCAAACCTTTGGTCGGCTACCAGAATTTTCCATCATCATTTTACACAAAAATTGGCTATATGGCTGTTTATTTTCTTCATTCAAAGTGCCACGTGGCAACTCCACAACAATTTGGCGGCCCCCCTCACAGACAATTACGAGTGGCATCCAATAAAAGCCCATTCATTAGTCCACTATATATAGCTGCTGTTGTTAAATGAGATCAGTGTAAGAAGCAAAACAAAGAGGTAAAGGAGGGGGCAGCTTATAGGCTTTCTTTTGAGTTTTTAAGGTTGAAATTTGAAAAAAAAAAAAAAAAATGCCTATTTCAAGAGTCGCTATTGGATCTCCGGCGGAGTTCAGCCAACTGGATGCCATCAAGGCTGCCGTGGCTGAGTTCATTTCCATGTTGATTTTTGTTTTTGCTGGTCAAGGCTCTGGCATGGCTTTCGGTAAGTAGTTCTGCTGAACAAACTCATTTAAAAGTTTTAAGTTGTTAGAAATCGATAATTACATCATTGGTTTTTTATTTTTTCACTTTTTCAACAGCTAAGCTTACGGACAATGAATCAACAACGCCGGCTGGCCTCATTGCTGCATCGATAGCACATGCTTTTGCGCTTTTTGTGGCGGTTTCGGTCGGTGCCAACATCTCCGGCGGCCACGTAAACCCTGCTGTCACCTTAGGTGCATTTGTTGGTGGTCACATCACATTGTTTAGAAGCATCATGTACTGGATTGCCCAATTGCTTGGATCTGTTATTGCATGCTTGCTTCTTAAGTTTGCCACTGGTGGACTCGTAAGTTGAATCTTATATACTCTGTCCAGTTGAGTCCATTACTGTAACATATTGGCTAATGTTCAATCCTTGATTGTAGGAAACATCAGCCTTTGCACTTTCATCGGGAGTGACAGTTTGGAATGCAGTCATTTTCGAGATAGTGATGACCTTTGGACTTGTTTACACAGTTTATGCCACTGCAGTGGATCCAAAGAAGGGTAATTTAGGGATCATTGCTCCCATTGCCATTGGCTTCATTGTTGGTGCCAACATCTTAGCCGGTGGCGCATTCGATGGTGCATCCATGAACCCAGCCGTGTCTTTTGGCCCTGCTGTCGTCAGCTGGACATGGGACAGCCACTGGGTCTACTGGCTCGGCCCATTTGTCGGTGCTGGAATTGCTGCTCTGGTCTATGAAATCTTGTTCATTAACCAGAGCCATCAACAGCTCCCTACCAGTGCAGAATACTAAGAATCTATATTTGTTTTCACAAAGAATTAGGAGCTGCGTGCAATGTTTGCTTTCATTTTCTAAAGCCTGTTCAAATTCTCTTGCTTTTCCTTATTGTACTTTATGTCAATCGGCTCAGCTGTATTGCTTCTTTGGAATTCAAGTTTTCTGCTATCTAATTTCCCCTATTAAAGACTGAGAAAAGTTCTAATACTTTATGAACAAAGCAGATGGGTTAGCCGGTAGAGAAAAGACGGAGAGGGGAAAATTATTCATTTCTATGCACATTAGACAGAACATAAAGAACGGGAAAGCACAATGGACAAATTTTTAAATATTTTTTTTCCCCTCACAATGTGCGGCATTCTTTAGTTTACCGTACAAAATATACCATTACTATGCAAGCGCATATTTTTCACGTACTACGGCCCATTGTTTAAACGCCTTGAAAAAAAATGTAGTACACAAAGTACTGAAGTTAACAGCTCAATGAATAACAGTAGAAGGATATACTAATTAACCATGACAATAACTCGACATAAACCACAATACAAATGTATAACAGGAAGTTGAGAAATTAATGCATATCGGAAACTAATATATATGATAAATTATCAAGAAATAAGTTCAATCAACATCTTTATTCAAAGATAAACTTTTTATTACAGACAACAACTACAATCCACATAAAACGTACATAAATCTTTCAAAGCAACACATAATATCAAGACACAATGAACCACAAGAAGCCATCACACACATAGGATTATGGTAATAAAAGAAGTGGCTGTACCATGAGCAACTGCACATAGCTCTCAAGGATCAAACATGTGCTTACTATGGAATAAAAGAGGTGGGGGGGGGGGGGGGGCAT